GATGTCGGGCAAGGCCCGAGGTCGGGCGGGGGCCTATTATGTGATTTATTATGTATGGTATGGGGTAGTTTGGGGAACTCACTAAGCTTTGTGCTTACGGTTTTCAGTTTATGTTTCAGGTACTTCCGGTTGCAAAGGGAAGAGCTCGGGTTGACTGCATCGCACACACCATTAGGATTCCGCATATGATGTTTTACTATGATTTCATGACATTTGATACATTGGTTTCGTTTGAGATGTTTGGATAATATTTGGAAATACTATTTTATCTATTTTAAAAATGAAATTTTAGGACCATATTTTGGGGATGTTACACCTTGTTCTTCAAGATTCAACCTTCCAATGGATAAATAAGCCCATAAAAGATGCCAAGGCTCAAAACAAGTAATATGATGCTAGGGTTTCTCAAGGAGTGATCTACGGTGATGGAGGCTGGTCATGGGAGGGTTTCTCAAGGAGTGATCTACGGTGATGGAGGCTGGTCATGGGAGGGTTTCCCAGGAGTTAGAGCCCTTAAATAGGGCTCAAAACCGAAATATTAGGGTTTTGATATGCCGCTATTACGCCCTGCGTAACCTAAGTTACGCAATGCGTAGCCCGTTAGAAACGCGAATTACTTTCAACAAGCTACACCCTGTGTAGCTTGACTACGCACTATGTAGCAGCTACGCCGATGCGTAGGACAAATCCACCAACTTCCAATTCAACTTCAAACATCCATAACTTTCTTCGTTTAACCCTGATTTCGGCGTTTGTTATAAGCGTTCTTTATATGTACAAAAAAGTATTAACGAGCCCCACAATCCTATCTACTTATCTTTGGCTTAACACATGTCGAACCAAATCCATAATCCATGCAAGAAGCCCGATATATAACTTTTCCTATATTATCCTTTCCTTCGAAACGCAATTCGAGAGCTTTAAACACTTAACCAAACATTATCATCATCTGATAGGGTCTAAGCTCTATTCCCTTGAAGTCCAAGACCTTTACTCGATCCATTTACGACCCGCTATCCTGATAAAAGAAATATCCAAAACTAGGTGTTACAACTCTCTCCTACTGGGTCTAAGCTCTGGTCCTGGCGTGAGCACTTGTGTCTCATATCGTGAGCTCAATTAAATCTGGAATTTTCATTTAATCACTTGTCACACCGTGACCTCTCTATGGTCACGTCGTGACACCTGGTTTTACCTAAAAACCATGCCTTTGACTCCTTGAAGCCTTAAACCGGTCCGTTCTGAAAACTGTGTGTTACATCCCAGATCAACACTTTATTTGGGAATTTGTTAGTGTGCGTTTGTACGAGAGAGAGAGAGAGAGAGAGAGAGAGAGAGAGAAATGGTCCATGTAGTAATGAAATGACGGAAATGCCATCCGAATATTTTATTCAAATAATAGTTAACGGCCAAAAGCTGACGAAGTTATAAAAAATGGCAGTGTTAAAAATTTTGAAACCACAAGGACCATTTGGAAGATTTTTTAAACATAGAGACTATATGCCAGATTTCTGGAAAGCACAGGGGCCATTTATAATGTTTTTTCTACAATTTTTAAATAAACACCAAAAACTGGGGTTACTAAGCATTTACGTATAAGTGTATAACATGTTGATTTTTTTTGAATTTTTCTTATATATATATATATATATATATATATATATATATATATATATATATATATATATATATATATATATATATGGCAAAGTGTATATAATCTTAAATGTATATAAGCTTAGGTATCAAAACTCACCATACTACGTCGTTTTATATCATATATAAATTGTAATCATCCAAAGTACTTAAAATTCAATTACTAGCTTGATTTAGTTCCAAGATTTTTATAAATTTCATCATTATCTTCCTCTTACATAATTTTTATTTTCAACCACAATATATATAGTCTGGTAAGTGTTCGACAGAAAGATGTGATGTAAGAGGAAGATAATAATTAATTTGTAAAAATCTTGAAAATAAATCAAGTTAAAGGTTGAAGTTTAAGAATATTATAATGCATATATGATACAAAAGGATGTATTATAATGAGTTTGGGTATCTAAGCTTATATACCTTTAAGGGTATATATATATATATATATATATATATATATATATATATGATCAAATGAAAACACCAAAAAGGTTGAGAACGCGAGAACAAAGTATATTCATTTGTGATTCCATGTATTCATTTGTGCAGAAATGATAAATTTTTACGTCTTTGATTTCGATTGAATAGAAAAAGCATATTCATGTTGATTGTGCGTAAAAATTTATCATTTCTCCACAAATGAATACATGGAATCACAAATGAATATACTTGTTCTCGCGTTCTCAACCTTTTAGGTGTTCTCATTTGATATATATATATATATATATATATATATATATATATATATATATATATATATATATATATATATATATAACATATTGAATCGAAATTTTGTGATCGGTTCATCGATCACAAAGCATTTTTTAGGAAATGAAACATTCATAACGAGGGTTTCGGACTAGCTTTCGCGTACCTACGAATCTCCCGCTGCAAACCTTAGGATATGATGTTCTGGAGTCACTGCATGCGAACCTTCATGTAGTGGCGAAACCAGAATAAAATGTTACTGGTCGTACACGTAAATTATCGTGATAACACATCGAAAAGATTGCACTACACCAAAAAAATTTATATTGCTTCTGAAAATTTGAGGGGTATAATGGCTACCTCATGGAGGGCCACAATGAGTGAGTAGTATCAAGATTTAAACATGAGTCAATCTAACTTGATTTGAATTATAATTTATTTTTAACTGATCGAAAATCATCAAAACATATTAACTTATCCAACATCCTAAATCATTTTGTTCAAAAATTAAATTATTACCTTAATGATATAGTTTTTGTAATTATATTTGGAAATCTAATAATAAATTAAAAAGAACAATCCAAAAAAAAAAGTTTGGGATCAATTGACCCGGGCCATAAGGGTGAGCACGGTGCGGTGCGGTTCGGTGCGGTTATTGGCCAAAACCTCACCACTAACCGCAAATGCGGTTAATCCATTTTCAAAACCGTTTGGTGCAGTTATTTTTGCGGTGGGGTTAGATGGTTATTTTTGTGGTGCGGTTTTGTTTTTTTGTGTTTCGGTTATTAACCGCATGGATTTGGTGTGTTTATTTTGTGTGGTTTTTAACTGCAGTTTAGAGTTCAAACGGTTTTAAGAGTTCAAACATATTACTTGTAATAATAATAAAAAGAATAAGGTATAAGACAATTAACTTAAATCACAAACAACTAATATCTTAAAAATAATAAATATCTTAAAATTGTGAAATTTCATCATTTTCCAACGTTAAACATAACAAAAAAACAACACTTTTGTCTTCTTAAAATTTTATCGATCTTTCAGCCATGAAACTTGTCTTATTTTTAATATTTAATATATTAAAAATTATTAAAAAAAATTGTATATAATATATGCGGTGCGGTGCAGTTTTTTTACGGTTTTTTAAAACTAATAACCGCACCGCACCGCAAATTTACGGTTTTTAAAAAACTGAAAACCTCACCATCGGTTTTTATTGCGGTTGCGGTTTATCGGTTGCGGTTTATGCGGTTTTTGCGGTTAATTTTAGTCGCGGTGTGGTTTTTGTTCACCAATACCGAGCCATATTATGAGGCCAAAACCCTAAATCGAAAAACCGGAGATTCCAAAAGAAAACAGTCTATTTTTCTGCCTTCAATCTTGAATAGAAAACACCTAATATCATTCTTTCTAAATTATATATCAAACTAAACACCGGAGGTTCCAAAAGAAAAAAGAGAATTTACAATTGCGTTGAACATGGAGTTACTCAAAAGTTTCAAAAACAAGATTCAGGAACCCAATGTATACGAAATGCAGGCACCATGCAACCAGCTGCTTGTTTTGGTTAACAAACTATGGGGTTTATACTTTATACTTTATACCGCACCCATAGAATCCCACGACACCTTTCCCTTTTTAAACACTTACACATGCAACAAAACTTATTTTTTCATAATTAAACTTCACCAACATTTCCAATTTTGTCAAGCTTTAAGAGCAAAAAATGGACGTGTTTATCCCAGAAGAATACATGGTGAAACGACGAATGGAGAAGAAGGCTGCTGCTTCTGGCAAGGGTGGATCAATGAATGCCTGCAATAACAACAACAATGGCGAAAAGGTGACAAGAAAAAGCCACTCCTCATCACATGCGCTTAAGGTTCATCAAAATGAGTATGGATTTGGTGAAAATCCAGTTTTTAATTTTTGTTTTTCGCCTTGATGATCAAATCGAACAAACTTTTTTGTGAGTAGATATTATGGTATATGAGAATGTAGTATGGAGATTTTGTAAGTTTAATAATAGTATATGAGAATGTAGTATCGAAATTATGACAAAAATGTTATATAATCGCTTGTTTTTGTTATAATATGATCGATCATATTAAATCTTCCTGAGTAATTCATTGATTTAGTGTTACCTTTTTTTTTTGAAAAAAATTAAATAAATTATCCGTTCTATAAGCTGGATTAAAATCAGTAATTGCACCATTATAAATTAATTAATTAATATTCAAACTATACAACATTATATTTGATTTCTCTTTGCAAATAAAATATAACTATAACAAATAATTATTACATCCTTACTATATATATATATATATATATATATATATATATATATATATATAATATCATTAGTAAAACACAATGTGTCATGCATGACTAAGAAAAAAGAAGAAAAGGAAAATAACTCTCTTTTCTTTTATAGTATATATGTCATATCGACACATTTCATTTACAAGAAACCAAAACAAGGGGATGCAACGTATACCACCCATACATTTACGTAATATATATAGTTATTCACTGAGCATATATAAGTATAAACTTACGAGCTTTATCTTAAGTAATTAATTAAGACTTAATTAATCACCTGATCACAAGTCAAACTGAGTCATGATCACCTTCTATTGCTTCTTTTCAAGGTCATGTTCTTCATCCAAATCGACATCATCAGAAGCATTAGGATGAACAAGATCGATAAGAAAATCAAACACATCAGTGGTCATCACCGCAGATGCCACATCTTCTTTGTGTAGGGTTCTTCTCTTTCCTTGAATGGTCATATTCCAAGATCTTTTAGTCAATTCTTCGATGAAAAGCTCACAAGCTTTTGAAAACACAAGTGGCGCCTCTCCTGAAATCATCTTCACGTCTACACTTGATTTCTTCATGATCTTCTTGATTCTTGCTAATGGCAACAAATGGGGCCCAGTTCGCCCTGATATCCCTCCTCCCGATAAAATCCCAGAATATGCACCAGCTTGCCTCATCTCAAACAAAATGGCTCAATGGTAAATATGAAATAAGATCTTGTTTAGATGAATCAATAGAGATGGCGAATGATTCGTTGTATACGGGCTTCTTGCTTTTGTGTCTAAGGTTATGAGTGTCGAGATTAGTTTATGAACAAACCAAACACATATGGTCAAAGTGGAAGTTAAAATAATATATTAGAAATTTTGACGAGAGAAAAAGATGATATGATGAAAGATTATATTATGAGATTATATACCAAAGTTTTGTTATTTATATATACAATTAATATATGGAAAAATTATTATTAAAAAGTAGGGTTTGAGAGTTGCCGGCCGGGTTCGCCAACTTGCATGCTTATAGACTTATATTATGAGATTATAGTCTTGGCCGGCTGTGTCACTAAACCGAATCAATTTAATCACTACACGTTTTTTTTCATATTATTATTTTGTGGGAATATTATTATTATTATTATTATTTTTTGTTGAACTACAATTGTGAGAGATAGAAATATCGAGAAAGAACGTATTTTCACGTATCCTTGGGGATTAATGATTACTTTCGAACATATTCAAATTGAAAAAGGGAGATCTTTTTGACGTATTAAACTTTTGGAAATAATCCAAAACTAGTTTAAAATTAGTTTTTTGTGATAATTAGAAAGAAAATACCCAAAACTTACATGGATCTAGCCAAGTCTGGACTTTTTGTTTATGTAAATATAAAATTTAAGCATATCTTTAAGTATATTTTTGCCTGATCCTGTGATTCGCATATTTCTTTCCATTTCATATGCAAAAAAGGAAATATCTAATAGACAAAACTCTAAAAAGATATGTCGAAAATTATCATTTTGGTCCAATAAGTCTTGGGCCTGCACCATGGATCCAAAACTTTGATTTCTTGCGAGTTTGATCCAACTTTGATTTGATTTTTTTAAATGATGAATTTGCCATTTAATTTTGTTCTTATTACAACAATTTTTTAAAAAAAAAATACTATCCCTACCCCTACCCCACTCCTCCCCGTCTCTCTCTCATTGTCACCACAACGAGCGCCAGTCACCACCGCCACTGCTACCACCACCGTTGGTCACCAACAACTGCCACAACCACCGTCGATCACCACCGACACCACCGCAACATAAAATTTTCATATCTGAATAACAAAACACTCATATACTTTCATATCTACAATTCCAAATTGAAACTCAAGAACGGCCACTATCACCACCATTTGATGAATTCAAGCATATTTTTTCTAGATCTAAAACATTACATTTTTCCTGATCTAGAACCTCAAAATAAAAAACAACCATATTTTTAAACCCATAAGAACAATCAAATTTATTATAGCCCAAAAGTAGAAACATTATATTCTTGAGAAAAATGCACCATGTATTAAGGTTAAATTAATCCAATATTGAGATCGTAGATGAAAAGTATAAATGAAACATTTTTTTTTTCAACCGGCAAACCTAATTAGGACAGAGAACTGTAATAATTAGGGTGTATGTGATAACGGAAAATTTAGAAAAAAATTGATAAATACTGATATTACGAAGCTTGATTAAAATATTAGTCAGATTCAGAATTTTTCTCTATGATAAGTTTATTAGTCTGTGTAAAATCATTTAATATTCTATATAGATGAATGAGAAATTGATTGAATTGTGTATTTTGTAACATTTTGTAATGATGTAAATCACAAAGAATTTATTGTTAAATTCGATGATTTATGAACTACATTCTAAGTAGTTTCGAGATCGAATGATATTTAAGGTTCAATGGAAATAACATACAGTTATTAAATTCATAAGTGATTCAAACTTTCGTAAAACTTTATATTTCAACAATATGATGTACAAAAAAATATACGTTATAACGATATAAAGGAAAAAAAAACGTTGTTTATAACGATATAAAGAAAAATTCTTTCACACAAAAAATATGTCATTTCTGATATATGTTGTAGTGAAATAAAGTTATATCATTGTATAGATGAAAATGAGACGGGATCAATAATATTTTTTATATTATACCGGATATTATGTAATAAAAGTTATAAAGAAAAATCACAATAAGTAACTTCAGATAAATACTAAAAGGATAATAAGACAAATATTATTTTATAGTTTTAGTATTTATAATATGTACGACGTCTTCAATAGTTAACCTAGCCAACCAGAAAAAAAGGCTTTTGTCCTCGGAACTCAAGCTGGTTCTATTCCGGACAAGAAAGCAAAGCCGGGGACCTAGGTGGGAGGAAGATGTTTTTTTTATCATATCAAATTTCTACCAACGTTTATTTATATAAAAAAAAGACTATTGTTATAAACCATATCTAACTATTAACATTCTCAAAAGCTTTATTTAGAAATTAACTATCTTTCTCATATACTATATAAATTGTTCTATATAAATTTTTAGTTTTTAAGTATATACCATATTAAAAAAAATATTAGTTGATATTAATTTTTTAATAAATAAAAACAATAAAATAATATGTTACAAAATATTTTGTAATATTTAGTATTTGTATCATTTTAACAATTAACTATTTATGACATAAATTTTTATAAAATATATTTAAATCTACTTTTCATATTTAGTTGAATAGATTAGATAATAAAAATAATAAAAAATTATTATCTAAATATATATGTAAAATAAAAAGATTATAAATGTAACAACTAAAATAAACAAAACATGATTAAAAATTCAAAATTTTAGAAATTAATAAGTAGTAAGAATTAGAATATCTTAAATAAAAAACTTTCTATTGCTCAATGGTATCATGTATTGTCCTCTTTTTTGATATCGATGTTTCAAGTCTCGTTTGAAAGATAAGTAGATTTAAGAGTAGATTAGATTTACATTATAATAAATAATAACTTTTCCAAAACCTTTTCAAAGAGAAAAGAAAACATTAGAAAAAAACAAACTTTTTAGTAGTTGTGTGTCAAGGGTAACTTTGAAAAGAAATTATCTTAAAGAAGTTAACATGTATTCCACAACTTATAGAATTTCATATGACAATTGTAGTTACTTTATTTTAAACATTTCTTTTGCATTATGTTTTATTAATACCGCAAAAACATTAAAAAAAATAACGAGTAAAGTTGCTTATACCAAACACTAGTGGTTTTATTATTATTATTATTATTATTATTATTATTATTATTATTATTATTATTATTATGGTATTAAATATAATTTGGTTCTTCAACTTTCAATTAGATACATTTTTTATTTTTTTTATGCGTAATGATATTTTATATGTAGTATCGGTTACTTTTAATAATATTATAATATAAATTATATTAATATTAATCTATAATATATTAAATTCAATTTTTTGTTTCAAACTAGCACTGAATTAAATTTATTATTTTTATAATAAGTTAAAACACAATACATCTAATGAAAAGATATAATTGATGTACAAAAAGTACATTATTAACAAGATATGAGTTATGTAATAAAAATGTATTATGTATATTGGAATAAACCTAATAGATACAAGGGCCATCATTTAAAATCTATAGAAAAAATATATATACCTAAATTATTTGTTTATTAAATACTCATTAGGGTAACCAACTGTTTTTTATTCATATTAGTCTCTTTCATTTTTTTTACACAATATACCATTGAAGTTGTTTATATTCGTCATAACCCTTTTGACCGGCTATCACCTGTAATAGTCGGTCAAAAGGGTTATGATGAACACAAACAACAAGTTCGATGGTATATTGTGTAAAAAAAATACGCTATTAAAATATTTTATATGATATCTTTTTCTCTACTATTATTGAGTAATGTTTTCAACGTCATATATTTTAAAAACTTAATTATTTAATAATAGATATAATAATTTAATTGATATTTGAAATCATAAATTATCATTTTCCAAACATTGCTTATTCCCAAAGCCAATGACGAAGGAAGATTCTTTCTTGAGATTTAGTACAAATAAAATAACAAAAACTATTTTCCAAATAATGCAAAAGTAGTTATTTAATGACCTAATCATATCCATAATAAAAATGTTTATTTTATTGACTTGGATTCGACTCGATGTGTTTGTTGTAGTTACACTTACCACAATAAAGAGGTTCATCGTCTATACATCAGTTGTGAGGTGGCTGGTCAAATTTGGGTTCGTGTTTGTCGATGGTGTTGGATCTTATATTTCCGGACTTGACTCCCAAAAAACATGTTTATATGGGTTGATTCTTGAATCGTGGATACTATAAAAAGTCTGGATTTTGATGCAGTTTTCATGATGACCATTTGGATACTTTGACCTATCGCATGCTCTGGTTTTCAGGTCCAACAAGTTTCGTAGATATTTTAATTTTGAGAAGATCGTTGCTTTATTGTTTAAATGGTTTATTCATAGAAACATATATGGGTGTTGCTATTAAGACACCCCTTAGACACCCCAAAAGTATCTTTATCAAAAGTCAACCTATAGTTAACTAATTATAATCATCTTTCTCAAAAAACAATCTGATTTCAACCGATAAAAATACCTTAAAAACTATGTAGAGTGTCTAAATTTTAAAATGGGGTGTCTTTTTAGTCAACCCAACATATATATATATATATATATATATATATATATATATATATATATATATATATATAGAGAGAGAGAGAGAGAGCTAGGTTCAAATGTTTCTAGCAAGTATTGTGTGCATGTATGCACCAACGAGAATTCAAGAAAAAAATAAATCATTAATGTAAAAAAAAGGGTAGATAAGTCATTTTGTTTTTATAAACTAAAAATAAATTCTTATATATTTGGTATATCCCTTAAATCACGTCTACTATTATTTGACTTATTTCAAACCATCATATCCACAGCCCTAATGCAAATCATCAACCTCTTCTTTTCCCTTCTTGATCCAACGCTTCACTTAACTCCTCCTCTAAATGCACAAAGAGGGGACGCGTCTTCTTCAACATATCGGGAATAAGGAACGATCGAATGGGAGCAGTCAAAAATC